CCCTCGCCAGACTCCACTGTACACGTACCACTAGCACCATCCCGTGCCATTGCATCTGGAAATTATTTACCAATGAGAGAGGAAGAGGGGGAGATGTGAATGGAAAAAAACAGTGGTTGCATAGGGGGAATTGAAAAGGGGTTTGAAAGAGTTCACCAAAAACTGAAAATTCAGTCATCATTTAATCATCCTCATGTCATTTTAAACCCGTATGACTTTCTTTCTAACATGAAAAACTAAATATCCACCATCAAAGTAATCCACATGACTCGTATGCTATTTTTCAAGTCTTCTGAAGCCATATACCTTTATGTGCAGGAAAGACTTCAATTTAAATTTAATCACTGAAAATTAAATAACATTCTTCTTTTGTGCTCCACAAAATATGTTTTGAAGAATGTTTTTTGTCCATACAATAAAAAAAAGTGGACCCTCTCACTTTTAATGTTTATTCATTGTGCATTTTTCAAAATATCTTCTTTTGTGTTCCACAGAGAAAAGCAAGTCATACAGGATGAGTAAATGCTGACAGAATTTTAAATTTTGAGTGCACTATCCCTTTAAGACTGATTGTTTGACATTTTGGGTTTAACATTTTTTTGCTTGTTTGTTTTACATATCACTAATCGAGAAGAATTGTTTTAGATTTGTATTCATGAAACAATAGCATGAATCTAACTCAAAGAGAGGTTCCCATCCGCCTCCCTTCCATCCAAATTTTCTGTCTCCATGGCAACAAGAAGGATGTCCTGTGGAATTGGCTCAGGAATCTGGGACTCTGCAAGCTTCAGAAAACCCTCTAAGGGCAGAAAACACATGAAAATGCAGTAACGAACTATTGCTGCACTCATCCGTCAGGCATAATGTGACTCAATGCGATCATTACATGAGATGATACAACGGTAGTTGTAGATTCTCGACTGTGTACAGCGGGGTGACTGTTGATTTTCTGCTTGATTTATGTATGTGTTAAATAGAGCGCAGGCTCTGAGCTCTCAACCCTCTCAGGCTTAGCCTGTCAGGCTGAGTTTTACACAAACATATCAGCCATGTGCTTCGATCATCATAATTACAAGATTTATATAAACACAGAAATGGTCCAAAATAATTTATGTCTTTATTAGACTGTAAAATTGTAGTTAAAATAATTTGCTCTGGATTTAATTTGTATCAGATGAGAGACGTTGCAGGCTTTCAGCATGTTTATAGCACATCAGGCTGTTTAACATGTTTTTATAGCATTATCTAAAGGCATTTCCTCACTGATTTCCTCACTGAGCCCAAAGACCACATTTGCCAAGGGGTGCTTGCTGTTGCTTAAGTCTCATTTGTCATTTAAAACTGAAATATTTCACTACATGAAGGGTGTCGGATTTTTTAAATTTGTTTGGCACATTTTATGCTTTCTTAATGTGTGTATTTGTATATAGGCCTAATCATTGCATATTATCTGAGAGAAAAAGGTTATTTCTCAGCAGTTGCTCATTCATTGTTCGTAGAATTGTGAAATTAATCAATATAGGATATATATCAGAGAAGAATTAAGAATTTTATTAAGAATTTTGCCTGCTCATTTTCCCTGTTTTTACATTTTGATTTTATTTGCAATCACCTAACACTCAAAGTTAATCTTTAAAATGATCTCAAAATCAGTATCCATTTTTCATACTGTGCATTATAATGTTGTGATGCCTAAATTCACTTGTCACATATAAAATGATTGATTTTGGTGTTTTATTTAGTGTTTTATTTATTTAAACAAAATAGTATAGATTTATACACTACTGTTCAAATGCGGTTTTGACAAAAGCCTCTTATGCTGACTGCATTTATTTAACCTTTTTTTTAGGATTCTTCGATAAATAGAAAATTCAAAATAATCTGTCTATTTCAAATAGAACAAAAAGTCTATTGGAAAGACATTTTTGTAACAATGTAAAAGTTTACTGTCACTTCTGATCAATTTAATGCTTCCTTGCTGAATAAAAGTATTACTTTCTTTAAAAAAAATTTACTGACCCCACACTTTTGAACAGTAGTGTAATTTTGGACATTTGTTGGCTATTGGCCTTGACATTAAAAATAATTATTGACTTATTTTGTATTGGCCTATAGAAATTCCGGAAGAGAAACATCTGATTAGTAATTTTTTTTCTCAAATGAAATGCAGCACACTTTAGCAAAGTCTCCATTTGCTCTTCATTTAATCTAATGGTTGTTTAGGAGAAGCAATTGAGCTTATAAAGAGATCTGAATTGTTAACACTAAAAGAAAACGAGATGAAATCATTTATGTTTGTGTCTTTTGGCACCCTGCGTCATCTACCCATATTACGTTACAATCCTTACTTCATTTGTCAGTGCAGTATTCCACCAAAAAATGCTGGATACTTATAAGACATGGGAGAAGTGAAACAGCATTTGGGACTCAGAAAGAAAGTGTCTCCGACACCGGGTACCATGGCAACGTTAAGCCGTCTATAGTAAATGCAAATGAGACAGAACTGTTCATGAATACATTCCTGCACAGAAACAAGAGCGACCCTGGCTTCATTAGATGCACTTCATTCCAAACTCTGCATTTTTTCTATAGCTGTTCTGTTGTATTTTAGGAGATTGTAATCATAGCAAAATGAATTAGATTAATAAGGCTTGGACTTAAATGTACTGTGAGTCTGGGAAATATCACAGGACCTGCTGACTGAGTTTCTGTGTTTGTTGCTCATTACCTTTATACCTAGTTATTATTATGATTAATGGTTTCTAGTAATGATTAATATATACTTTCATTCCTAATTTCTAACCAGAACTCTATATCATTTATACAGTTTGTCATCTGGTATTACTTTTATGGCAGACAAATCCCTTCATTTGCATTTTTTTCTAGTCCTTTAAACGACTGTTTCAAAGCCAGTTCCCATTAACTTGCTCATAATATCAAAGCACTCAATAAGAGTCAGTCAGTCAGCACTGTCAGTGAATGGAGACTGCGTGCATATGAACCTCAGTACAGCACACAGAAGCTCACTGTCTTTGGCCTTCTCATGTCAGACCTCTGCCCCGTCAAACAGCAACAGAAAGACAGAGTCCAGACGCCGATGTGTCTCTTTACAAACATGTCAAACCTCCCATTTTCCCCCCACAACGGAAAACCTCAGACCTGCAGAACCCTCGCTGACAGACTGAGAAACGCAATCACACTAGTGATCGGGCGCAGACAGCAAGCACTAGGGAAATAACCAGGACAGAACAGTATTTTATGTAATCCAGTCTTGCTGCCTCTAACAAAGTTGAATGCGTTTGTTGGTAGGACTGAATCCAGAATTTAAAGAATAGGGTTTTGCTTACTTTTAAATGTATGTGTGAGCCCCTAATGAGTTTTTAGTTGTCTAGAGTTGTCAATCCCAGTTGTCCTAGTCTTTGAAGTTTTGTCTGCCATGCTTTTTGTGCATGCAAAACTTCCCTTTGTAATTAAATCAGCCATATCCAGCTTCACTCATTTAAGCCATCTATTGATTTGTGCTATTTTGTGCAGTAATTTTTAATGTAACAAAAACCAAGTTTGAAGTTTGAATTGTGAACCACAGGAACAGAATGTGTATGCTCCCACCAGAGATACGTATAGCATGTGGACCTTAATGATTTTTTTTTTTTTGAGAAATAGTGAATCTGTCTCCCCATAAGTGTTCAGCTTGTTGATGTATATGTTGGTTGGGTTTCGAGGAGACTGTTGTTTGAATTCCAGTGCAGAGTTCCTCAGTGGCAGCTGGTACAGTATACCTCCTGAAAATAACCCTGAAACATCCTGAGTCTTACTAAAGCGCACTCTGGAGAGTTAAGAGCCATACTGCCCTCCTATGGTTAAACTCATTAACAAATAAACATAAATAAAAGTGCATATTTACATGTAAGTAAATCTCTAATCTAAATCTAAGTTCTTGTTATTCATATATATATATATAGGACAAAATATTAAACTCATAATTTTTAAATATGTAGTCTACTGTTCAAAGTTTTGGGGTCTGTAAGATTTTTAAATACTTTTGAAAGAAGTCTCTTATGCTCACCAGGGCTGCATTTATTTGATAAAAAAAATTTTTTTTTAACTGTAATGTTTACAAATATTATTACAATTTAAAATTGCTATATTTCTATTTAAATATATTTTCAAATGTAATTTATTCCTGAGATTGCAAAGCTGAATTTTCAGCTGCCAAAAGTCTTTAGTGTCACACGATCCTTCAAAAATCATTCTAAAATGCTGATTTGGTGCTTAAGAAACATTTCTTATTATTATCAATGCTAAAAACAGTTTTGCAGTGTTTATATGAAATATATATATATTTTTGTAACATTATAAATGACTTCAGTGTTACTTTTGATTAATTTAATCTGTCCTTGCTGGCAGCCGGATATAGTTGACCGAGAAACAAACTGGCAGCATTCGTGCAGATTCACATTCATACTAAAGCTCACAGCAAAAATGGTTTGAGAGAAACTTGAGAAACAGGTTTAATTTTAGTAAATATTGTTAGATAAAGAATGACAGTTGAGAATCCAGTTGAATAGTTGAATGGAATGAGCAGTCAGTGATTTTTAGCACGTAAGCCTTCTTTTCTCCCTCTGTCTATTTTATTATCTGGATCAGTTAACACATCAAGTATGTCCGTAATCCTTATAGTTAATACTTCTGGTGGCCGTTTAAGTAAAAAAAGACCCCCCCCAATATCATTTTGACACCCCTCCTTCTGCACACACCACGCATGGGGGTAGACCACTTTCAGGAGGAGGACCCTCAGTGTGTCAGTTCATGCAGTTCATGTTGATGTTGTTGTTCTAGTATTAGAAAACCTACTACATCTTATTTGGCCTGTTTTAGATATCTTTAATTGCATTTAATGAGAGTGTGTGATTTAGGTAGTATGGCACAGGTATGAGGGGTCCGAGAACCACAACGTGACGAAAGCGGTCATGTTTAACGGCTACCGTACTATTTCACAGCACCTCAATGACCTGAAGAAGGAGAACTTCAGCCTCAAGCTTCGCATCTACTTCCTGGAGGAGCGTTTTCAGCAGAAATTTGAGGACAGCAGCAGTGAGAATGTCCATCGCAGGGTGAGTGTCACTGGGCTATTGTGAATTAAGCTGTTGACATAACTGATGCATGGAAACTGATGCAAAGTTTAACAATAATGAAATGCAAATACATGAAAAAGCAAAAATTGTAAAAGGTAACAAGCAAAGATTTCAAAAAATTGTTTTGGCCAACAAATATTGTGATAAATAAATACAATAAATTTATAACATTTGAAATGTTGTATTAGTACAATTTCTTTCTGTTGGGGGTGAAAAAAAGCTTTTGCGCAGGCATATTCTAGTACTGCAGCATTTGTTTTGCTGGCTTGGCAAATGCAAAGGCCTAAAATAGCCTGCAGACCGCCAACCATCTATACATTTGCAGTGCACAACAACTGCAGCCTGGAAATGTGGTTCAGCACATTAATATGGATCAGCAGTCGCTGCAGCTGTCACAAACTGACTATCAGCACTGAAAAAAATGGATTATGGGTAGAGTTGTAGACTGGATGACTGGTTGGGTCTGGTTACTGTGAGGAAGTAAAGATGAGACTGTCTAGCAGCTGTTGTCCATATACTATATCAATATGGAACACTGAAAAAGAAGAGTGTATCACTATGTTTACTTATTTTTGTTCCATGTAGAGTGACATAAAGGTCCAAAAGTCTGAGATCACATTGAAATATGTGATTATGAAACATTTGACTCAAATTGTTATGCTGGTAATTTGTAGTAATTTGTAGTGAACTATATCAATATGGAACACTGAAAAAGAAGAGTGTATCACTATGCTTACTTATTTTTGTTCCATGTAGAGTGACATAAAGGTCCAAAAGTCTGAGATCACATTGAAATATGTGATTATGAAACATTTGACTCAAATTGTTATGCTGGTAATTTGTAGTAATTTGTAGTGAATATATATATATTAAATGCTAAAAATGCAAAATAGAAGAATTTTCACTAATTATCCCAGAACTTTGGATGTCAGATGTCAGTTTATACTTGGAGGCCCATTATTCCTATGGTGCATGGTTATTATATTTATGCATAAAGCATTTGTATTGTAATTTGATTCATTTTGATTAAGATGAATGTGTGTTTATGCACAATTGGACTTAAAATAGCACTGCTTAGCTGGTAACTGATAGTCACAACTGAAGTTTGTGTGTGCAAACAAAGCCCAAAGACGCATTGCCAAAACTAGGTTATTTCTGTCTCTGACCTTTTCAAATGAGCCTGATAAAACAAATATTAGTCCCACTGACCCATATAGGCTACACAAATAATTAAAAACGACTGTGCTGTCATTCATCAAACACAGTTTTACTGGCAAACGTCCCCGAGGATTGTAATGGGATGTGTATGTATCATTTCAAAAACAAAAACTATACACACAAAGTACTGGGCACTGATCTCATGCCAGCTATACTGAGTATCTGGTGGTGAGAGTTAAAAAAAAGTCTCTGTTGCTGGCCTGGTGCATTGTGGGAAGGGAAAAGTAGAGAGGTCAGGTTTGATTGTGTGTCAGAGAGAGTGGAACAGCAGGTGGTTGGTGTCTCTTATTCTATTTTAAGGTCTCCCTACACCCACAAGACTCCAGCTGCACGTGCAGAGAGCTCACGCTGAACATTCTTTTTAATATTTTTAATGTAGCATATTAATTACTGGTGAGTATCTTCAGAAAAAAAGTCTGTAAATATAGTGTAGCATTAATTTCTAATGCAATATTTATTATAGTTTATTATAATTAAACAGAAATAAAGAAAATTAATTTTGGTAGAACAACCTCACAGGAAATCACATTTTTGTATGAAATACACGCAAAAAGCATAACAAGAAAACTTTTTTTCTCCAGATCCTGCATTATAGACCTAGTTTATTTGCAAAAAGAGAGTAAAGTGTGATTGCAATGACTTTTTAAAAGAATCCCTTTGTTTTTCAGAACATTGAGCTGAAGGTTGAGGTGGAAAGCTTGAAACAAGAACTCCAGGAAAGACAGGAACAGCTTGATAATGCACTGTAAGTATCAAACACAAATATGCTGCTTATATCTTTATGTATTTGCTGTTGACAAATTCTTTGTCTGTTACAGTTAGCCTACATTCACTAAGTGCTAAAGTGCTAAATCCAGTTACATTTACACATTTCGTTTATATATCAAAGTGTAAATGAACTGACTCCCTTAAATTTTCGAGTCTCACTTTTTGAGAGCTGTTGTATGAGCAGTATAGACCTCTTAGTGAATACGGTTGTCAGTCCCAAACACTGACCGTGTGAACGTAACCTTTTAGTTGTAAAGCAAAAAATGAGATAAAATAATTATATTTAAGTATTTAGTTCTAGCTGATATTGACATCATTATGTCAATTTTACGATTAACATAAAACAAAAGTCTGTGTTCTGTGAATCTACTATCAGCATAAGTGCTTCTCAAAGGCATATGCAACTTATCTTACTGACCTTCGAAACGCAAAAGGCCAGAGCCCTCTGCCAAGTCCGTGTTGGACACTTATCAGGTTTGGAGGACAGAGCAGAGTGTCATGATGCCCTTTGAAACGTGCACATGGTCCTGTAACACGTTTTGCTGATGGAGAAGGTATTGGAGCTCCTTTTTAGACTATTCAAAAGTTTTGGGTCAGTAAGATTTTTCTATTTTATTATTTAAAATATGATTTATTCCTGTGATGGCAAAGCTGAATTTTCAGCAGATGTTACTCCAGTCTTTAGTGTCACATGATCCTTCAGAAACCATTCTAATATGCTGATTTAGTGCTCAATAAACATTTCTAATATATGACCCTGGAGCACAAAACCAGTCTTAAGTAGCACAGGTATATTTGTAGCAATAGATAACAATACATTGTATGGGTCAAAATTATAAATTTTTCTTTGATGCCAAAAATCATTAGGTTCCTTGAAGATATTTTGTAAATTTCCTACTGTAAATATATCAAAACTTCAGTTTTGATTAGTAATATGCATTGCTAAAAACGTCATTTGGACAACTTTAAAGGCGATTTTCTCAATATTTAGATTTTTTTGAACCCTCAGATTCCAGATTTTCAAATAGTTGTATCTCGATCAAATATTGTCCTAACAAACCATACATCAATGGAAAGCTTATTTATTCAGCTTTCAGATGCATTAATCTCAATTTCCAAAAATTGACACTTTTGGTTTTGTGATCCAGGGTCACATATGTGGATATTTTTGCATACTATTTTTGTGGAATTTATTTGAAATAGACATTGCTTCTAACAATGTAAAAGTCTTTACTGTCAGTTTTGAATTTAATGCATTCTTGCTGAATAAAAGTGTCAGTTACCCCGAACTTTTGAATGGTAGACAAGAGCTAATTCAATTCATAAAACACACAATGAGCAACTCAATCCTCATGTACGTTTCGTGCTTGACTTTTTCTTGTACGGTCGGATGGAAGTATGTCAGTAACATTTACATTTACAGTAGAATCCATTGGCGTTTCGGAGGATCACCTATAAACGAGACCCCCTACCTTTGTGTTATTCTTCAGGTGACATAATTTTTCTGTTGATGAGTCGGTTGCTATGTGTCATTTCCATTACACGATCTGTTCAGTTCTGATGATGTGTCTGCCAGTGACCTGAGTCTTAGCCATCAAGCAAAAATTTCCCTCATAATTTCTCCTCATGTTTTCCTCATGGCTTCCTCTAAGCCATCGTTCTGAGCCGCAGAACTAACATTTGATTCTCTGAGGACTAAAAAAAAACAAGCAAAACTGAACGATATCACCTTCCAAGCTAAATGACATATCTGTAGGCTCTGATTACTAACACTAACTGATGTAGTGGCTGACCGGGACGATCACTCAGATCGCTCATTGCAGTAATGGATGTCCTGGCACGGTGCAGTCAAAAACACAGAGGAGCCGTTTGCTCTGGATCAAACAATTACAGGAATGGTCAGTGCCGCAGCCATCATCATTTTCAAAAACAGCTCCGTTGCAATGCAGCAATGGAGTCTGGAAAAGCCGTTACGAGGTCCTCGAGAGGGTCCTAGAGCACTGCACTGAGTGAGAGGCTCTTATAGACACTCCAGAATACTTTAAAGTGTCAGAGTAACACCCTTCACACACACAAAAACCTGCTAAACACATCCCAGAGGAGACATGAGCAAAGATTGTTACGACTCACCTTTGTGACTCACTTCTTTTTCTTCAGTACTCTTTGGAGGATTGAAAACTGAAATGAAACTCTTTTACAGAGTCTGAAAGGTATGTACTTAGGGACAAAGATTAAATAAATCAAACATGACCACTAGCAGTAATTTCTCTTTTGACTTTTTTCCCAAAGAACACAGGTAAACCTACCCATAAAAATTATTTTTAAATACAGGTTTTGCATCAGTTATTTTTAGAATTATAAATTATAATTATCTAGAATTTCTGAATTAAATCATTTATACATTATTTTTAAAAATGTATTGCATTTATTATAATTATTTATAAATATATTAAAATTATTACTATAAACTTACATTATCAAATAATAATCATCAGAACAATTACTGATAATAAATAGTCAGAATAATTTTTTTCTTAAGGTAGTCAGAAATTTTGTTCATTTAAAGGAATAGTCAAAAAAGCCGTTCACATGCATGCCGCATCTTTTGCCTGGTCAAGTTCATATTCAAATGTAGATGTGCGGCAATCACACTCATTATAGAAGCAACGTGGTTGTTTTTTCCAGGTGCGTCTACACCACAGCGAGATGAAAACATCTCATCTTTTCAGAATGCTGCAAGCACACCCCAGGTCATGTGACAATAACCATCCAATCAGCTTCACCCTTTCCTTAACAACACTGAAAGCTCAGCCAAGGGGGAGGAACAGCTGATCATAGCTGTACAGGGATACCCATTTTTAAATTAATCTAGTAGCAGAGATTCTGCCAGCGTGAATTCACTTAACATTTGTGCCATTTTAAAGGTGGGGTAAGCGATTTCTGGTAGCCAATGTTGACATTTGAAATCACCAAAACAAACACGCCCCTACCCCAAAAGGGTCTCGCCCCTATTTTGATAGCTCTGCCCCACACATACGTTCGCAACCCAGGCAACGATTAGTTCTGTGAAACAAAGCAAAACCAATGTTACACCATGTCTACACTGGATGTGTCAGGAATCCGGTTCATGGACTTCCGTCCAATTACCACCAGAGGTCGCTCTGCCATTTTTATGACTCTCTCACTACACAAACTTTCACATGTCTACATTTCCCAGCAGTATTTTCACTAATCACACGTTCACCTGAAACCAATCACACACACTATATAACACACACTCAGATCCTGTTCAAACTGCCGAGTATTACTTTAACGTTTATGCTGTTTAGCGTAGCTACTTTACGGAGCCAGTTCCCTGTCCTTGTTTAAGTTTTCTAGTTCTAGTTTTCATAGTCTAGTCAAAGTGTTGCATTGCCTGTTTCCTGATCTTTTGCCTGTGTATCTTGGATTTACCCTTTTCCTTGCTGTTTCGGACTGTGTTTGCACCTCGCCTGGACTATTGCTCATGTTATTGGATTACCCTTCTTTTCAAGCCCTTTGGATTATTTTAGCCGTTGATCGACCTACGCCTGTTTATCGGATTACTCTTGTGTCTTGCCCTCAATATACCTGTTGCCATTGTCGGACCCTCACCTGTTTCTGACCATTCTATGAATAAAGCTTTGCAAATGGATCTGCATGTCTCATGCCTGTCGCCCCGTTATAGGATGCGAGTGGCTCGGCGCGACAAAATACTATGGAACTCATTATAATCAGTGATGCTGTCTACACCATAGATATATATACATATCTGGTCTACACTGGATGCGGCATGGCACGACAAATCCCCGACAGAAAACTGCTGCTGTGTTCTATTTATGGCGTATTGACACAAATTTCAAATGATTTTCAATGGTCGCTTTGTCACATCCAGTGTACTAGACAGACTTTAGTTGTTGCGGCACAGACACGGTGTTACTCACCTATCGAGAAGAAACAAAGCAACCTCGGCATACGATCGCAGGCCTTCCGCTCCTTGAGTTCTCTCCAGCGCTGGAAAGCTGATCCAATATTTACATTGGTCCTACTTCTTGCCTTATTGCCTTAAGCCTTCTTTTGTTCCGCAGACGTTTTCCTCTATCTTTCTGTCGCTCGGCTTGGCTAATGTCAGTCCTGCGCACTGAACGCTCTGTCCTCCACATCATGAGTAGACATGCCCCTTACTGCTAATTGGCTACAAGTTTGTTTTGCTACTCGGCTCGAATCAGTTTTCTAAAGCGTTTTTTAAAAAAGGTGGTTAAACCCACCTTTAAGCGCTGTATTTCATTGTAAACTCCTGCGTCCACTAAGCAATCACAGTCCAGTTTAACCAGGTGCAAAATGCACTGTTCCATTTAATTTAAATCAAGTAACTGTCATTTATTTCAGTGCAAACGCACTTCCTTTCTATGTTACTAAGACTTATTATAGATTCAGTGCTGTTTGCCTTCCAGTTTTGTTTAAAAAAATGTGATCGTGTACATTTCAACTGATCATGGAAGACGTAATTCATTTATTTAGCCTTTTAGTTAACTTTGAGACAAATCCACATTGGCACAGGCAGCTTATAGACCAAAAGCGTTGTTTTCCCATTTGTATCGATGGAATTGTTTTGACACATTCTTTCCAAATTGTTCGCTATAGCTATTTTGTTTGTATTGTGTCACTTCACAGAACCACAGCAGAAAGTCTGACCAATCAGAATGAGGTGGAGGTGCAGCGTCGCTGTGAGGAGCGGCAGCAGGAGATCGAACACACGCAAGAGATTCTGGAGACCAAGATCCAGCTTCTGCAGGAGGTGCATAGTTTGTTCCAATGCACAATAAACTGACCTCATTACAATGATGTCCACATTTACTGCACTCAGTATTTAAAACACTTTTGCTGTTCTTGTTTTCTTACTCTTGTGTGTGTTTTTGAAGCAAATTCTGTTGTAAGAGACTTTGTAGAATCCCATACTCAAAGTGTTTTAGCATCCAAGACCAACAGAACTGTCCATTTTATTGCATTGCATTGCAATGCAATTTTTTCAGGAGGCTCAACTGGCAAGAAGTGAAGCAGAAAAAATGGCTTCTCTGGTAGATTCAGAGTCCCAGCGCTGTTTGGGCCTAGAAAGGAGGATTATGATGGAAATGCAGGGGGGAAATGAAAGCTTATCTGCCACGGCACAACATGAAGAGATGGCTAAGAAAGACAGGTAAACATTTCAGTACCAACATTAAAAAAAACTGAATACGCTACAGTTGATTCAGATGTACTGAATGTTATTCTGAGATTTCTGAATGAAAATAAAAAAACAATCTCTGATGCCTTTCCTCTTTCTTTCTGTTAGGTTGATAGAGGAACTGAATGAAACTCTATGCAGGAGAGAGCAAGAAACAGCCGATCTGAGTGCACAGAGGGACGCCATTACTGTAAAACTAACTCAGCTGGAAGAGCAAGTGCAGAGCCTCAACATTTCCCTCCAGCAGAAAGAGAAAGATGAACAGGTAGTGTGTATAAGATCTCATCCATCAAAATGCACAAATAGATTTCATGTGGCCCTGATAATGAGTAACCTTTTTCACCCCCGCAGCAGCCAATGTGGCACAGTATAATGCTTTTGGGCAAATAGCATACACACTCACACTTACACACACATCAGTGTGTGTTATATGTGATTGTGCATGCAATATCTGGCTCTACACTCCTCAATGTGGTTAAAAGCCAGCAGCTAACTAGGTCACTTTGGCCTCTGGCCCCTATTCAACCCCTAAAGGGAAAATGGGTTCAGATAACAGACTGTATTTATAAACACATACACATATATTCATGCCATTGGAAATAGGTCATGGCACCATGGCACATGCAGGAGCGATTCAATACTTCTCCCAGATTAGTATATTTACAGTGTGGGTATAAATCACATACACAGGGAGATTTATATTAACTTTGCCTTAGATTCATGTGCAAACTGAGACGTATAAAATTGTTAAAGCCTGTGTGTAGATAAACGTGTTTAACACTGTGAAAACAATGAATCAAATGAACTAAAACATGGAAATGGACACAAATGCAAAAGAAATTGTGTAGCCATGTAAAGCCTACTCTATCATATTTGATACATTTCTAAATTATCAAAATGATCAAAACTTTGCTATACTAAAAGGCAATTTAGTATAATTCTAAAAACATCCAACTATAGGTTGTGGTACACGTGTCTTTGTGCTGTGAAATCTTTACTGATTTCTATAAAGTGATGCAAGAAAAACTTTTATATTGTTAGTAATATTTGAATGGGGCCGTTTCTAGCCATTTTGAGGCCCTAGGCGAAATATTTATTGGTTACATTATTACATACAAAATAACATAAAACTGAATGTAAACAGTGAAATCTTAAAAAGCAACAATGCTATTACTGATATTAATTTTAATCCTTATTAACAAATATATACAAATATACTTTGGAAATGTATCAATATGTATGATACATTTCCAAATCATATTTGTATATATTTGTTAATAAGGATTAAAATTAATACCAGTAATTCCATTGTGTAGCCACTAGATGCCTGTATAGCCCTATAAAAATAAATATTTTTTGTACAATCCCTGGTTGCTAAAAAATTGTTCTCAGACACAACTATATAATCTACTACGTTTAAATTAAATTATTATGTTTTGCATTCAGATACATGTTTAAATATCAGTGACTACTTTTTGTCTGTTCTGATTAGATTTTATTTTAAACATTGATTTCAAGTGTCAGTTTTTGCATTATTATTAGTCAAACCTATAAAATCTTTTTTTTTTTTTTTTTTTACAGCAAACTACATATAAAAGCTTGATCAGTCACACTAAAGTTTCACATTTTATTATATAATTTTTTTTAATTGGCCGTTAAAGTTTTATATGGGACAATTACAAAACACCCTGATCCTTTAAACAATGCATTGGCGCAAAAACGCACACCTTTTGTAATAACTGTATATAACTGAGTCTGAAGTTATATGTAGCCTTTACAATACACACCAAGCAATATAATGCTATCTGCCCATTTCACATTTTGTGATTTCTCAACTGCCACAAATACTGCCCTAACAAAATACAGATTTGTGCACTTTTTACTGTACCTTTTTTTTTAAATTGGCCTTTGAATTTAGCTTTATTGTGTGGTTTAAAAAAAGCGTTACCTTGCCAAATCATTGACCGAGCTCTTTGGCCTAATGGTGGTGTTGAGTGCTCCAAACGCAAACTTTACGTGCAATAGTCAGACAGTAATTGACAGTACTCTGATCCAGTGGCATGTAGGAATCATCAGATTGACATTACTATAGCCCAATAGTGTTATATCCTTGAGTATCAGATCCATATTATCCTATATCATGTATTCGGTTGTTATACATCGGATGTATTAAATATGATATTCAAAAAAAAAAACTATTTTTATAGATTTTAAAAATATATATATTTTGTCTCAAAGTTCAATAAACTGTTCAGTTTAAAAATGAAAAATCTTTAAAAAATCTATTTAGACTTATTTAGTATGACGGGGTTAAACAGAAAAATGAAATCAAAGGTTTATATTCATTTTTAAACTGTGACATGGCTTATTTTGTCAAGCAGCAGGCTATATAATTTTCTCTTTTTTTAGACCCTCAGAGGAGAACTGGCTCATGGAAAAAGCAATACTGAGCAGGAGATGCAAGTAAGACTTTTAGTTCTATTTATATTTTCTCTCAAGTTCATAAAAAAAAAAGTATGCATGTAATCTACACAGAATTACTATTATTGTTTAGCATATGTTCTTAATATAATATATTTATATAGTAACCATGAGTGAGTATGTTAATGAATGAATGGTCCTATTTTTGGGAAAATGGCTTTAATTTAGCTGAAGAAGCATCACCAGTGTGCTGAGAGTGACATCTAGCGACAGTGTTACAGTCATAGCAAGCTGAGACACCGACAATTAGT